GGTCTTGCACAACCCAGCAGCATTCCCTTGCCATCTCTCATGATAAGACGGTCTCCTCAGCCCAGATAGAGAGCTCCTAGGACTGGGTTTCCCCACCACACAGACAAACCTATAAAATCCCCAAGGGCAGGGTCTGCTTTATGTCACGTACCCTCCACTCCCTAAGAGTGGCTGCCCTGGGCAACATCCAGGAAAGGAGTGGGGAGGGGTACAGGTGCCTCCCCTAGACTGGCCTCCACAGGGAGGCTCTGCCCTGAGCTGGGGTGGCAGGGAGAGCATGTGCCACCATGTTATGCAGAGATGAGACCCTGAAGGAGGTTAAATCTGAAACCACAATGTGACTATCAAAGCCCCCAGAAGGCTGTGACCCAGGGGTGGGGAGGAGAAGGGGGAGGCAAGGACACAATTCCTCCTCTGTTGAAGCCAATCCCATCTCCTCCTCCCCCAGTAGGAGAATAAAAAGGTCTCTTGTGGTCCCCAGCCCTGGCCACTGGAACACCACCCAAAGCCCTCAGGGCAGCTGACTAGGGAGGGGTGTGCACAGCTGTGATTGCTCAAAGCCACTGCCTGCCCTGAAGTCTCCTAAGAGCCGCCATCTCCTCCCAGGCTCAAAGGCTGAGGAGCAGGTTTAGGCCTCTAGATCTGAGCCCTGGAAAGAACCTGAGTCCTGACCTTGGGAAAAAAAGCCAGTTCTGGGCCCAGAGAAGTCGTTCTGGAACACCTGTCCGCAGGAGAGGCCTAAGGCCCTCAGGGTCAGATATTCAACTTCTGCTTGGGTCCAGCACCACACAGAAATACTCAGGCACAAAGCATTTGAGACATTGTGTCATCTCAGCCCCAGCAAGGAAGTCCCAGGAGAAGAGAGAGAACAACAGACTGTGGCATTGAAATCCAGAGGGGGGTGCCCACATCTCACTGGCTGTCACTCAGAATAACCTGTCCCAGGCCACAGCCGCACTTTGGATCTAAGGCTGGGACCTTCCCAGGGCTGAGGCCGTGTTCTGCAGGATCCTTAGGAGGGCACCAGCACTGGCAGAGTGGCAGCGGCACCTCCCCGACCTCCCGCCGCCCTGGCCCGCTGGCCCACCTCGGCCTTGCCCATCTTGGCGGCCAGCTGCAGTGGCGTAAGGCCGTCGTTGTTGCGGGTGGTCTCCAGCTCCCAGGTGCCGCTCCTCAACAGGATCATGTCGTACATGCGCTTAACAAAGTCATTCTGGGTCTTGAAGTCCTCAGCTACCGTCACCAGTGCGTGTAGGATGTTGTTTCCCCGAGAGTCCTGCGAGGCGATGTCTGTCTGCTCATTCTCCATCAGCAGCTGCACGATCTCGGGCTGGTTGGTGCATGCCGCCAGGGCCAGGGGCGTCTCACCTGGGCCAGGGGAGCACTGGGACTCAGGTATCTCAGGGGTCAGAAGCAGTGTGCCCAGGCCCCAGGGGTCCACAGCCTGACAGTCCCAGTGGCTTTGACTCCTGAGGTTCCTTGATGGTCTCTTCCTCTCCCACTTGAACAGAGACTGAAGCTCTACTGATGCTGTGGCCTTCTAACCAACCTCCCTGCTTCCCCACTGCCCTCTAACACTGTGCTCAGCACAGCAGCAAGATCCACCCCAGTCCACCCACCTGCCTGCCGCCATTAACATGTGAATCCCACCTTCCCAGAATGAAAGCCCCAGTTCCAAAGAAAGCCCACAAAGCCCTGCATCTTCTGATCTCTCCTCCTCTATCCCTCACTCCCCTCCAGCCACAATGGACTTCCTCTCCCTCTAACACACCAGGCATTTTCCTATCTCAGGACTTTTGCCTGGGCTGTTCCCTCGGCATGTAGATTTCTGCATTGCTCACTCTATCACCTGCTTCAAGTATTGTTCAAGTATCGCCCTCTCTGTGAGTCACCCTAACCTTACCCTATTTAAAATCAAATCCTCTCATCACAGTCAGAACTTCTGGTTCCTCTTCCCCTACTTTACTTTGTATTTTTTTTAAATAGCACTTTCCATTTTCTAACATAATGCATAACATTCTTATTTATAATGTTTATTATTGATGGCCTCTCTCCAGACCTACAATATAAGTCCCATGAAGGCAGGGATCTTTGTTTTGCTCACTGATATATTTCAAGCACCTAAAACAGTTCCTGACACAGATAGTATGTGCTCAATAAATGTTTTTTAAGAAAAGAGAAGGCCACTGACTCCCAAGTGGTCAAATAGCAAGCATGGGACAGCACCACGGCTGGAGGCCAAGGCTCCTGCCTCCTCTTCTTCCTCCTGTCCCCTCTCTTCATACCTAACAAAGGTTTCCCAACACCAACTGCAACCAGGCTCTGTGCTGGGTAATGGGGACACAATATTGACTAGACAAGACCCTGTCCTCCAGGACTCACAGAACCATCTAGAAAAAAAGCTACCCAGAAGAGGGGCTGGGGTTGTGGCTCAGTGGTAGAGCACTTGCCTAGCATGTGTGAAGCACTGGGTTTGATTCTCAGTACTGCATATAAATAAACAAATAAAGGTCCATCAACATCTAAAAATATTTTTTTTAAAGCCACCCAGAAGAGAAAACAGACGAGTGGTTCTCAGGCCAAGGCTGGCAATTTCCTGTAAAATTACTCAGAGAAATGTTTTGATCTGGCAGAGCTGCTGGTGGCCTGTCTTGATCATGTTGGTGGTTCACAGCTCTAAGCATGTGTGGAAATAACACAACTGTGCAATTAAGTGGGTGAGGTCACCAGAAATAAACTACACATTTAAACTTCTTTTTTTCCACCCAGAGCATCTGTGAAAGAAATGTTGACTATTGTCAGAATCAAAATGGAATAACTTGTGTCAAACCTAACGAAAAAAAAAAAAAGTAAACAAAGCTGGGAGGTTATGAAGCAAGGACTCTTACACATGATTCACATGATTCACAAAAGACTCTGCCACTCAGTGGCTCAAGAGGCTGAGATAGGAGGATCATGAGTTCAAAGCCAGCCTCAGCAATGGCGAGGTGCTTAGCAACTCAGTGAGATTCTGTCTCTAAATAAAATACAAAATAGGGCTGGGGATGTGGCTCAGTGGTTCAGTGTCCCTGAGAACTGGTACCAAAAAAAAAAAAAAAAAAACACTCTGCCAGAGTCACTAGCTTGAATAGGGGCTGCCACAACCTTATACAAAAAGTACCAGTGCAAAAACATCTGCCCCAAACTCTTCAACCTTGGACTGATACCACACTTATTGTCAACCACTGTGGCCAAGGATTATTTGCTTCAAAATATCTGACACAATTCGCATTAAAACTTCCCCTAGACTCAACTTCTTTGTGTGTGAGACAGACAGACATTTAGGATGGAACCCAAGGGCACTCTACCACTGAACTACATTCCTGGCTCTTTTTATTTTTTTATTTTGAGAAGGAGTCTTGCTAAATTGCCCAGGATGGTGTCAAATTTGTAATCCTCCTGCCTCAGCCTCCCACATAGCTGGATTACAGAGGTATACCATCGTGCCCTGCTCAACCTCTTTAAGTACGCCCACAGTTCACTATGGCATGCATATCCCCATTGCAAAGCTCTATTATTCCCAAATAAATGTCAGTATTCTTTGGAGAATGTGATTTTTTAAAAAAATATTAACCCTAATTGCTGTTGGATTCCCCAACTTGTCAGAGATTTTCCTCCTCTTGCTTTTTTTTTTTTTCGTACCAAGGATTGAACCTGGGGAGTACTTAATCACTGAGCCACATCTCCAGCCCTTTTTTTTTTTTTTTTTCATTTTGAAACTGAGTCTCACTAAATTGTTGACGCTGGCTTTGAAGTTGTGATCTTCCTGCCTCAGCCTCACCAGCCTCCGGGATTACAGGTGGTTGTGGCTGGCTTCTCTCATTTTTGATTCCCTGAGAGGCCCTGAGCACAGGGGACAGAGATCAGAGTTGGAAGCGAGGACACCTACCTACATGGAGGCCATACTAGGCTGGGGAAAGTCACTTCCCTTCTCAGAACCATCTCTCTCCTATGAAACCGGGCTCTTTTCCATCCCTCTCCCCCAAGTCTCTGTTCCCCACAAAGGGTTGCTCAGGTGACTGCCTATGTGCCCTCTAATGCCAAGTGATGTCCCGGGGTTTGCAGGCTTTGGGGCTCCACCCTGCCTCCCCAGGCCCTTCTTTCTCTGGTCCACCCTAGGGGTCCTGCTCAGATGGATCTGTCTCAGCAGCCTCCCAATCAGACTCTGTCCTCCGTAGCCTGGGACCTGCTACCTGGCTAAAGGGTCTCCAGCCTGCCACCGCCTCTGGGGGCAGGTACCACCGGGCCCGAGCCAGAGCAGCGGATGCCCCTGCCCCTCCCCTTCCCTAACTCATCCCCCCCTCCTCTCCCCTCCCCCACTTGTCCACTCGTCCACCTCCCTCCTCCCCCTTCCCCTCCCCCTCGGGCTCATCCAATCCCCTCCTCCTCCCTAGGAAGCCACCCCCCAGCCCAAGCCGGGCGACAGCGGCACCCACCGAAGTAGAAGCCTTCGTGCTGGTACTTGGGGTTGAAGAAGACCCCCTTGGCATGGGCGTTGACGTCGGCGCCCGCCGCGATGAGCACCGCGGTGATGTCTCCCTGGCGCCGCTCGATGGCGATGTTCAGCGCAGTCTGCCCTGCGGACAGGCGGGGTCGGGCAGGGGAGCTCAGCGCTGGGACCCGGGGGACCAACCTAACTGATCCTGGAATCCCGCAGCCCCACGTGGCGGGGACTGCCTAAAAACACTGAAGGGAGGACCTCAAAGACATCGTCAGGGGACAGAATGGTGGGGCAAGGTTGGTTTCTGGGGCGGCAGGAAAAAATTGCTCCTTCTACTATGCAGAGAGAGAAGCCCACCAGCAGGAGACAAATTCATGAAAGAAGGAAGAGATAAGGGGCCGCAGAGAAAGGAGAGGAGTAGGGTTTGTGACCACTACACAAGGCCTTGATGGAGATACTAATAACTTTAATTTGTCCACCCAATCAAAAAATCTATATTAAATATCTCCAATGTGAGACCCTAAAAGCACCAGAAAATCAACTGTGGGGAAAGGACTCCATCCCTGCCCTCAAGGGAATCTGCTGCCAGAAGAGTGAGATCTCTACATCCCTGAGGAGGGCACAGAAGGGGACTGAAAAGGGAGAAGAATCAAGACAGCCAAACTTGATGCACTGATCTGTCTACAGGACTAGCATCAACTCCTTAGTGCCAGGCTAAGAATATCGTATGGCTCACTCAGTTTCTCTCTTTGCTTTTACTACCAGCTCGATGTGCAGTTCAACCCTCAGTAGCAGCAATCTTCCCTGGGTTTCCTCTCCCCTTTTCCATAGCTTCTATGTGTCACATCCTTGGTGTTTTCTTATATATGACAAAAACTCTTTTGACAATCTGCAGAGTTTAAGTAATAAAACGGTTTTCTTAATAAGAACAGTGAAGGGCCTGAGCTAGACTCCACCTGGAAAAAGGTGAGATGCTTAGTGCCCACTGGCATGTCAGCAAGATGACCAATCAGGAACCAATTATTTTGCCACAAGCATCTAACCTTAACAGGCTGTTTACTGACTCTAAAAACGCAAATGAGCACATATCTTATTGATTATTCACAATGACTTTCCCGGGTAGAGAAATACTATCCCAAATTTGTCTCCATGCACCATCTACACAGCACCAAGACTCAAACAGACCATTAATAATGATGATGATGATGATACATAGTTGCTTCTCTGGGCCCCTGCTGGGATGTCCAGCCTCATCTCCAGCCTCCTGTCCATTGCCACATGCCTCACTCATCCCCACTCTGGATCCTTCTCATCATGCAGTCAAGAGCCCCTTTCTCCATCCATGCTAAAGTGGCCTATCTCCAGCCCCTTTCTGTCATATTACCTTTATTTCCATAGATTTCCTGTCTAAAATTACCTTATTTAAAGCAGTGACCTTAATCTGTCTTGTTAACCCAGGTGCCAAAAATAACACCTGGCGCATAGTCAGTGCTCAGTTACTTGTAGAAAGAAGGAAGGGCAAGGGGAGTGCCTGCTGCATGCCCAGCACCATGCTGTGCGCTCAGGCTTCTAGGTGGTAGCAGTGTCTCTGGTGGCCCTGTGGCCTGGCACCCCGACCTGGGAAACATCTGCACAGCCTCTGGCAGCCAGGATACCTTCATAGGCCTCCTCAGTATACTCGGCGTTGATGAACCTGTCCAGGATGTCGTTCTCCTCGGCAAAGGCCAGCAGGATCCGCACGATCTCCTTGGTGTTGGGGTTGATGTTTAACAAGGCCTTCATCAGGCAGGTCTTCCCCGTGTCCGAGGCCGTCAGCTTGTGCATGAGGACGTCTACAGGCAGGGTCACAGATGGAGGAGTGGGCAGGAGGGACAGGTTGCCCTTGACCCTCACAACCCAGAAGAGGGTGTGGGAGCTGCAGCCTCTCGCCTCAAGATCCTGCTCCCTACCCTGTCCCCTGCCTGGCCTCCCCGACCGTGAACTTCCTAGCACTCTTCCTTCTTTACCAGCTGTTCCTTCTCCAGCTCTGAGCTCCTTCTCCCTTCTCCTGCCAAAGAAAGCCCTTTGCTCTTTGACCTCTGCACCTTATCCCTGGCAAGGGGCAGTCTCACCTGGCTTCCCTCTGTCCACCTCTGTGCTGATACCTTGAAATCTCTATCTCCATCCTCCCTCCCTGGAGCCTACAAATAGATCTTATTTGGGATCTTCTCTTCCACTTGCTTTTCTCTGGGTCCCCCAGACAGCAAGAACCCTGCCATCCACCAAGTCCAAATGGTGCCACCCTGGACTCTTCTCTCTTCCTCAATCCCCATGTCACCAAGTTCTGACAATGCCATGCCTGAAGAAATCTCCCAGCCCTCCTTCAGGGTCCCAACACTGTTTGAACAGCAACATGTAGGAGCCAGGCCATGATGCCCACCTGCCTAAACACTTCCATAGCTCCCCACTGCCCTCAGAGTTGAATTAAGGCTCCTCAAAACCCAGCCCTACATGAGATGGGGCAGGAATCAAGAGCCAAGTGGCATCCCTAGACCTGCAGCGTCTGCCAGGACCAGGCACTGACCGGGCACATCCATGCCACCGCGGCGCCTCTTGCAAAGCTCCTGCAGCTCCGCCAGCAGCTCCACCAGCTCCTCCACGCAGCCCTCAGACACCACTGCAAAGATGCGCTTCTTCAGCCGCTTCTTCTTCCGCCTCTGCTCTTCCTTAGCCAGGTTTGCGCTGAGGCCAGAAAATGTTTTCAATTCACTGTGCACACCATCCCCTTACCCCCTGCCCTGCAACCATCACCCCTTCCCCAATAGAATTGCTGGACCTTCAGGGACACCTCACAGGCCTGTCACAACACCTGCAAACCCTGTGTTTGTGCTTTGGGGCTCCATGTTGCCCCATGAAGCTCCCCTTCCAATCCATATGTGATCACATTTATCAAAATATGTATCTGGATATACTTAGGAATAATCAGGAAGAATATGTGTCTAACTATTCACAGCAAATTACCATGAAATACAGGACTAGGGGAAGGAAAATTTCACTTTCATATTTTGCACTACAAGTAGATCTTATCACCTCCCCTTCCACTTGAACTTTTCCAATCCATCCTTGTCCCCATACTCCAAATGGACAGTCCTGGTGATACACTGATGTCTCTTCTTGTTTGCATGTGTTTTTGCAAAATGCATATTACTGTTTTCAATGCATGTATTTTAAATTTACATAAGTGGTCCTGTGCTAAAGTCATTGATCCTCTGTATACTATTTTATAATGATCAGGTATTATTTTACAATTTATAAAATTTGATATTCCACTTCCCCCACTAAATGTCCTCCATGCCACAACCATGGCCCAGGCCTCCAAAGTTTTATCTCACCTGCTTCCCTTGGTAGGCCCAGTGGGAGATGGGGAAGGGCCAGACTCACCTTGGACTGTTGGGATTGGATGGGGTCTCTGTCACATCATCCTGTGGAGACTGGGGAGAGTCCATGTCATCACAGTTGCCAGAGATGCTGGAAGTATGGGGCAGGAGGAACGAGAGAGGACAAGTTTAAAAATGGTAGTTCCCCACAGCCAAGCCAGGCTACTTGGCCCAAGGCATGTTTCTGGGCACCCATGGGAGCTGAGGGCTGAACAAGGGGCCGATACTCACCACTGCCGGATGTTGGAGTCCATGGGTTTGGAGAAGATGGGGGGAGAGGTCTTGGTAACAGTGGGGTTGGGCTCAAACCCTTCTATTTCCAGGAAGAAGTGTGCACTGAGGGGACACCCAAGCAAGGTCATTAGAGCTGGGGCACCACCTGTCCACCTGTGCATCCTGCACCCCTGCCATGGAGGGTTCCCCCCCACTTCAGCCAACTCTGCGTGGCCTGACCTCATCCAGCCCTCACAGCTGCCCTTAGGGCCAGGCACTATCACAGTTCACAGATGAGCCCCTGGGAGGCTCTGGGGTAACCCAACTCAACATGGTCACATGCAGCACTGTGGCAGAGCCTGGATTTGAGACTGAGTCTGGGTGACTCCTATTGCTAGAAATGCTGGGTGGAGAAACCACAGAGTCTCTACTGGGGGTGGCCCAGTACCTGGGGATCTGCAGCTGCCTTCAGGTTTAGAGGATTTTTCAAAGATGAGAACAGGGCACCCAGAGAGCTAGCTTTCCCATGGCCACCCAGCTGCCCCCAGAACTCAGGTCTGAAGTGAGAGCCCTGCAAGAGGAGGCCTCTGGACTCCAAGATCCATGCAGGCCTTATTGGCTCTTGAGGGAGGGAGAAAAGGCCTGAATCACACTAGCTTATCCCCACTCCTGTCCCAGGTCCCTTTGTTCAGCAAAGGGTAGGGTTTTTTGTTTTGTTTTATTTTGTTTTGTTTTTTATTACAACAGAAAACAGGTTGAAAAGGCTGATCTAGAGCAGGGGGGACTTGAGGGCTCAGGGGGCAGGGCTGAGACACCTTTTGACTTTTTTGATGAGACAAAAAGGAAAGCCCAGGCAGTGAGGGGAGAGGGGCAGAGCCTGGACCAGCTTTCTCCTAAACTGGCAGAAGAGGCCCTGTGGCTTGGCTGACCCCAGAGAAGGACAGATACTGCCACAAGAGAGTCAAGACTCAGACCCAGTGTGTGGTCCGGGGCCTGCCATAGTCCACTGAGCCCTATAGCCCCTGGGCCTCATCTTCAGACACACACACAAATACAGATGTGTGTGAGCATGGAGACTCTAATCCCACACTCAGAGATGGCGACAACTAGGATGATAAGGATCAGGCCGAGGGTGACTTCAGTTGCAGCAACACCCCACCCTGCAGCTGCTGCAGCATATCTGCTAACTGTGTCCAGGTCGGTGGCCTCCCACTGCCAGGCCTCTCTCCAGGCACACGAGGCTCCCAAGAACCTTTGCTTCCTGATGCCTTCCAACAGGTTCCCTCCCATCCTCACAAGATCTCTGAAAAAATCTCCCAAAGTACAGTCCCACTTAGTCAAGTTCAGAAGGAAGGGCAGGAGGGAAGGGATTGTGGTCCCACTCTACAGATGAGATAACTGGAGAAGCAGCTCATTAGGGCTACCCTCCCCCCACAGAGTAGAAACCAAGTTGGCCTGAGAACCTGCTTGCTGGTGTCCAGGCTCCCAGTTCACACCATAATCCACACTGTTCTGCTCTCAGTTTAGCCCTCTGGACCTGCTTTCAACCCAACCAGCAGGAGAGGTTGGCCACAGAGGGAGGCTGCCCCATATAGCTACTGCCCAGGGTGGGGCAGGCAGGAGGGGCCCAGAACAGGCCTCGATATAAGCCTAGAAGGCTCAGCGCTAATCCAGAGATGGAGCATAAGTGGAGCAGTGGACAGTGCTGGCTGAGACATTGGCCCTTGCCTTCTTGGCTCCTGCCCATCAGAAGGAAATTTATGACCTGATTCAAAAACAAAGACTTCTTCCCAAAAAGAAGAAAAAGGAAGGAGTAAACCTTTGGCTGGAAACCCAAAGCCTGAGTTCTAGAGGCTCTCTGCCTCTGCCTCCTGTGTGTCCCAGGTGGTCACTTTCCATCGCCAAACCACATGTCCTCATGTGAATGAATAGTGCTGAGGTCAGATGATTCCTAAGGCCTGCACCCTGGAGCCAGGGCAGCTCTGAGACATGAAAGGCCAACCAGTTTGATTGCCACACCTACAGATCCCTGCAGTGCCCCAGAACTGCCACCCCAAAACGAGTGCCATTCCAGTATGGCACCCTAACCCAAGAGCTACAAATTCATTTGCTGGAGGCTCAGCCTCAAATTATCCTGGTTGAGATCTGCCAAATATCTCCACACGGAGCTCCAACCCCCACACCCACAAGTTTTCCTCTAAGGCAGTTGATCCAGTCTCTCTCCTGGTTCTCACACTCCACCCCACCTGAGCTACTCAGTGGTGCATTTACTTAACAAATATTTGTTGACCTACAATATGCTGGGTACTGTTCCCAGAGCTAAAGGCACAGTGGTGAGCAAGTGGGCCAACTCCCTGCCCTCCCAGATCTGGTGTTCCAGTCCCCCAGGGACAGAGCAGGGCACTGTGCCACGGCTTTGTGCTCTGGACCATCCATCATCCTTCAGCTATAAGTTCCTCAGTAGCAGGGACCACAATTGCACCATGCTGATTCCCCCAAATCATTGTGCATTCTCCAACAGGGGTCCTGTCACTCAGAAGACCCTCGCTGCATGGGTGAGTGGGAGAATAGGTATGAGAGAAAGATAAATGAGTGGAAGGCTGGGATTATGGCTCAGTGGTAGAGCACTTGCCTAGCATGTATGAGGCACTGGGTTCAATTCTCAGCACTGTGTATAAATAAATAAAATAAAGGTCCATTGACAACTAAAAAAATTTTAAAAAATAAATAAATGAGTGGAAGGAAGAATGGCTGGTTAGAGAGAGGGACAGATGAGTGAATGGATGAGTAAATGGCTAGATGATAGAAGAATGATTGGATGGATGGGTGGACAGACAGACAGACGGATGGATAATGTAGTCAGGTATGTAGATAGGGTAAATACAATAAATTCAGAGATCTGTGGTCAGAATCAAAAATCAGACAGACCAACACAACCATAAATCATAAATGTTAGGAAGTGGAATCTTTCACGTGACTCCTACTTTGCTCTCATTGCCTCTTCTAAGCCTCAGCCCCTTTCCGGTTTTGGACAAGTGACAAGGGGTCCTTTGCCTCTCCTCACCTGCCCTCTCTTCAAGACCTTCTCCCAGAGAAGCAGCTGAGGGTGTGTTTTTGTGGCAATGAGTGTTTGCCCTTCTCCGGGGCTCAGCCAGGCCACTGAACCTCCTCTGCCAGCCCAATGAGAAAGCTGATCCTGTCTCCAGCCTCACCCCTCCTTCCCCAGTGTGGTTTCCTGGCTTTCTCTCTTGAGGGATCCTTAGCCCTGTCCCTTGAGCCCTCAAGTCCAGCCAGCCACAGCTCAACCCTATCTTCAGACTCACCCACATGAGCAGACACGCATGAGCATGAGAACCACAATTCCACAGTCCAGGAAGCCAGATGGTGAGAGCATCTGTCCACCCCAGGCTGAGGGCCCACAGAAGGGGTCAAGGCATCAGCTCACCCTGCAGTGTCCTTGTCGGTGCTAAGTGGCCATGCTGAGTGGCCACGCTGGGCTCCTCATCTCACCCCTCTCCTTTCCTTTCCTGCTCCTTCATGGTCTCATCCACTTAACGCAAAAACTACTCACATGCTCCGTGTAAGAAACATAGAGGGTAGGAAGGGGAAATGACCCTTCCAGGGACTGCATCCTCACAGATCCCAACCAGAGCTAATATATCATCCCAATGACAGCTTCGGCCTCTGAGGAAGGTAGGGCTGTGGGAGCTGAAGGGAAGCAAAGTTCCTTGCAGCTAAAGACAGGGATAGGATGCTCTGCTGGCTCAGGAAAAAGCCCTGGAGGCAGAGAGGGCAGCATGAGAAAAGTGTCCTGGGGAGGAAGGGTAGGGCTGAGTCTTGGGAAGGACATCCCCAGTGGCTGGAGTGCAAGATGTGAGAAAGAGAGTGACAAAAACCCTGCTAGGGAGGACCCAATTGTTGGGCAAGGACCAAACTCCTGGGATGGACAGCTGCTAGGCGTGAGGGCCTGCCTCGTGCCTGCCTACTTGCTTCCGCACCCCACGTCCCTCCCACCTTCGTAGGCACATGGCCAGGTCTTGGCCCAGGACATCCTGACTCCTGCCCACTGCCAATGATCCTTGTTTACTCCTACCTTTGGTTCAGGCCAAAGGTCTTCACCTGGGCATTGTTAATTCAGGTGCACAGACAACTCTAAACCATTTCTTCCTGCATTTCTGTTCCTCCCAGGGAATAACTCCAGGACTGCGAGCAAGTCCAGGGCTGGAAAGGAGCTTGTCTGGCCACCTGCATTGTCCCAAGAAATGCCCAGCTTTCCCACAGCCCCCTATGGCCTGCATCTCTGATCCTGGGCACCACCTTGCTCACAGGGAACAGCATGATGCTCAGGCAAAGCCCCCAGGTCCAAAAAATCTCTCCGGGCTTTGGACTTCCTGGTTCCTTCAATTCTGTCATTAGTACACGGTTCCCTCCTGTTCAGGGTCACCCTCTTTCTTTGCATATATTTTTTTCTTTTCCTGTCTACAACCCTAAGTCTTATACTCAGTTCTGCAGGAGATGTCCAGACCTTCTCACAAGACCCCTTTATCTCTGGGCCACCAGTTCAGGAGACAAAGATCACACCTCATACCCTCGACTGGGCCAAGCAGTCAACCAGTAAGAGTGACACCTAGAGCAGTCCATGAACGGCGAGGGGCTCAGAAAAGGTAGACTGATCCTGTGGCGGGGAGACCCTGGGATTTTTCCAAAAGCCTGTCCTCAATCCTTCCTCAAGATTTGAACCTCCCCTGGGAAAATGAGAGGGGAAGGTGGTCCTTGCCAACGTAGCTCACAGATCTTTCTGCTCTTTCCTGGACGGGCACATCCAGACCCAGGCTGCCCCTCTTGCTCCTGAGATACTTGTCTCATCTCCATCTCCACCCAGTTTCCTCTGCTGAGCTCCAGGATGGAGTCGCCATCTATATACCTTTCAGACGCCTCTCACCCAGAATTCCACACCTGAACTTGGACCATTCCTTGTGACCTTGAATAATATATTACACCTTTGGTAGCTGGTGTAACACATTATCCAAGTCAGGGATGGCCTCACCATCTCTCCAAGTCAACCCACCAGAAGGAGGTGACTCCGGTTCTTTCTCCCTTCCCTCTCCTAGCAGATCCCATGACACTAATACCTCTCTGATCCGTCCTTTCCTCTCCATCCCTAACAACCCAGGCTCAGACCTCACCTGGCCTTCCCAACAACCTCCTCGTGACCTCCCTGGCTCTGCCTCCCCTCCAATCCATCATCCACGTGGGTCACCCAACGTAATCTTTCCAAATTACAAATCTCATCATACTGTCCCATGGGAAGTCCCTCACTTCTGAACCCTCCTGAGGGTTCCCCACTCCCCTCAGGATTGTCCAAGTTTCTTAACTGACCCCCCAAGACCAGCCCCAGTGAGATTCACTGCCCCCAAAATTCCTCTCCCCACTCAGCATTTCAGCTACACCAAACTTCTTATTGGTCCCCATCCCAGTGTCCCTGTTTCCCTGTCCAGGGTCTAACCTTGGGCCTGATACACAGAATACCTCAATGATTATGTCTTTGGAAAAAAAAAAAACAGAAGGAAAACACCAAGCTTGCCTTAGGCCCAAGAGGAGACCTGGGAAGAGAACAGAGGAGGAAAAGCAAATGGCCATCCTAGGTCCAAGGGAGGCACAGCTGAGGTGGCCTTATGCTCTAGATTGGCCCATCCAAGAAGCACCAATCCGCTGAGGGATGGAGAACCTGCCTTGGAGGCAGCTCAGAAGCAGGAAGGTGTGAGCCTAGAGAAGCCCCTGCCCTCTTCAGTCTCCCCAGCTGGGAAGTGGAATGAACCAGCCCAGCTCCCAGGAGCCTCACAGGAGTAACAATGACAGTGACGATGATGAGGGTAACAAGTTGTTGACTGTGGACACATGCTGAGCACTGGCCTCACACCAGGCACTGTGCTGAGCACTTGGTTGCCATAATCCCAATTAACTATCATCCTCTGAGTTGGTGCCATTGCCAGGGTCCCCATGCAGGGATCCAGCCTGACTACAGCCGTCTTGGTCACAATCTCCCTTTTGCCTGCTATATGACCCTGGCACGTATCACAAACTTTACGGGACAAATAAAGTCCTTAAGGTAGAGAGTCCAAAGTGTTGTGCTAGCCATTAACACCAGGACCGGCACCGAACTGTCATGGGACATGTTAATATTGAGAAATCCAGGTACATTCACGGCCACCTTTGTCTAGACCAGCTTTAACCCCTTCCTCCAGCCTTGGAGTGTCAGGATCCTCCTGTCTTATGCCTCCCATGACACATCTCTGTCTGCAAGTCCCCAGTAAATTATACAGGCTATCCAGAATCTGTCTATGGTCTCATAGTACCTTCCACCTTTGGTAGCTGGTTTTCATACATGGAACTGGGTTTTGTTTTGTTTTGTTTTTCTTTGTTTACAAAATTTCCTTTACACGGATGTGGTTAGAGAGCTTGATTAACCTGGTCAGGCATACACAAAATGAAAGTCATTGGTGTATGTGAAAAATGTATTTAGTTGAGGGTCCATACCACCTGGAATTCCCACCCACCTTTTCCATCCTTGTCTCAAAGATGGCTCCAACAGTCCCTCTCCTCCTCCAGGAGCCTTCCTTAGTGTCCCCTGACTCCTCCAGGAGTCATACAGTCACACAGATATCTCCAGCAAAGTATGCAGTGCTGTTCCCCCCAGTTATACCTATTTAAACACCAGACCACCCCATATGATGCTGATGCTCTTAGGTCACAGGAAGCAAGGGATTCTTAGGGTAGTGCTTTCTGTGCTCCACTTGCACAGAAGCCAGGTCCAAGTCTGCCACTCCTACCTCTTCTTGGTGGGGGTGACTTCTGCCGGTCTCTTCTCTGTCAGGACAACAGGGTTTCCAGTGGGGCCAGTGGTCCTCCTGCCCACTAGGGGCACCATCTCCTTGGGGTGGGCATGCATGGCTGGAATGCAATCACAAGGCAGATGCTCAGGTTGAGGGGGCATGGAGGAGTTTCGAGGGGCTTCCCACCACCATATGGCACCATCCAGCTCCGGTTCACACTCCCTGTCCCCCTAGGACAGGGAGCTCACTCCCCATTTTCCCAGGCTGCCAATCTTTCTTGGGACAGGGAGACTGTCTACAGTTTCTCCTGTTCCCTGCTTATGTGGCCTTAAGAGAGCCCAGCAAGGCATCCAGGTAGAGACCACCGTGGCCTATAGCCTCTCCTCTAACCACCATATCTAGCCCCACCAGACTCCAGATGGACTTATGCTCCCCTTAGGATTTGTGCTCAGATCTACGCTTAAGACATTTGACCTTGACAGAGTCAGATTGTCACCTCCGCTTCTCTAGACCCTATGTTCCTAGTAACACAGCCTTGGATTCCTCTGGTACTTTGGATTTCTCATCACCCAGCTGGTCTCTGTAGCTAACACACTGATCATCTCTGTCACCCCGCCATGACAGCTGTCTGTCTGCTGGACCCCCCGCAGACACTCTTGCATGGAGGGAGCAATTGAATCCCTTCCCCAGAGTCTGACCCTTCCTCAGTCCAGACCTACTTTACCAATGCTCAGGATAGGTCGGGCACTTTGATGAGCTCCAAGGGGTGCGGAGATGCTGGGAGGAGGGACTGAGACATATTCCAAAGAGACGAGGGAAGGCGTCTTGAAGGGAACCCAAAGGCTGCTATGTGGAAGCAGGGCAATCCCAGCAGCCAGCACAGCCTGGGCAAAGACTAGGGATTGGGACAGTCCAGAGAGTGGCAAGGAGCTGGTGAGGCTGGAGAACCTGGGGAGTCTGGGGCAGGGGCTCGGGAGCAGTGGGACCCAATCGTGAGGACCTCTAGCACCACTTGGGCACCGTGGCTGATCCCAGGGCAGCAGGGAGTAATGGAGGGCTGTGGGGCTACAGGGGCATGGAGATGGTAGAGATCAGTAACTTGGGGACCAGGAGGAGGCTGCTGGGGTAGGGGGGGGATGAGGATGGAGAAGGGACATCTGCCCACATAGGGTAAGATGGATGGGGAGAGGACGGTGTGGACAGGAGGCAATTCTGCAGTTAAGAGGCCAGTCTTGGCTTGAGCCACTTCGTGGGACCTACTAGGATACAGAGAGGAGAAGGGAGGGGTGGATTTCTGTAAGATGAAGCCAGCTGGTGGGATAGAGCCAGAACCACCGGGGTCCTGCCCCAGGTAGGAAAGCGTCCTAGAGGGAGTGTCCAGAGCAGGTTGTCATCAGGCTGGAGGGGCTTTGAAAATGGGATAGTCCCGCTGCCTGCACTAACAGTAAGCAGGTTCAGGGTAGGGGAAGTCATCCTGGGGAGGGCTTTGGCCCTGGAATGCAGGAACTTTGAAGCAGGGAGGTTTCAGGAGGGGCCTTAAGGCCAGCCAGGTGGGCAGCCCATGGAGAGAGCCTCAGGAACACCCAAGTCCCTCCTATATCCAATCACAGCCTGATAAAGACAGTGACCTGACTGCCTGTCCCAGCCCCCAAAGACCCATGGACAGATGGGACTAAAAGGCTGGACTGGGCCACGAGAGAAGAAGGATAGAGCATGTTTCTTACCCCTCCAGGGGCCTCTGACTTCCCTCCTGAGAAATGGGCTGAATGATCCCCAAGGATCCTTTAACCCTAACCCATGGCGTGGATTACTCCGTCCTCTCTCCCTATGAGTGTGGGCAGCCAGGACAGGACAGGGCCAGGACAATCTGAACTGGGCTACAGCAGCTATAATTAGCTGAATCACCCCATAAACCCTGTAAGCTCACCTGCTGGCCTCTCGTGCTGCCCTGGCCATCCCTCTGTCTGGGATTCAGCTTCATCACCTAAGAAATGGAATATCACACCCCCAAAGCCCTGACAGTGATTGAAATGACATGGCCTGGCAACCACAGGGAGACCCCAGGGCTGCTGGTACCTGTGAGGTACCTGGGCCCTGTCCCTCCTCAGCACTGAGCCACTTCATCCCCTCCTCAACTCCTGTCACACTTCTGCCCCCGAGAACTGCAATCCCAGAGCCCACCAAGGGAAACAGAAGCTTCACCTCTGGCCTTGGACAGCTGCAAAATCATCTCCCTCCTCAGGGTTCCCAAATTCAGGGTTCCTGGGTCCTTTGGAACCTACCTTCTCACATGGCACAGCAGCTATGAGCTCGCTTCTGGGTTTCCCCTCCTGGAGCCCAGGCTCCTTCCTGACTTCCCCAAGGTGTTGAAAATGAGCAGACAAGGCTCAGGCAACCCCTAGGCCCACACCCTAGGCCCCCCCATGTGCCTTGGAGGATACCAGCTGCCCTGGATGGTGAGGACTCACCTGGCGAGGTCCTGGGTGGTGGTGGCAGCTCTTGCCCTGAGATCACCGCATGTCGGGGGCCCAAGGCCCCCCGCTGGGACTGCGGCCAAGGCAGCCAGAGGCTTTCATGGCAGGCACAGGGACTGCTGATGGCTGGAATGAGGCGTCAGAAGCAGAACTGGCTGGGTTACCTGCCCTTGGCGCCAGGCAGGCCACGCCCACCACCCACGTGCTCCACGTGAATCACCCCACGCCCACACAGCAGCCTCACCCACAGGGGAAAAAGCAGGGGAGGCACCTTCTTTGGCACAAGACTGATGTTCTGGTCCCAACCTTCCTGCCTTGTATCTGATGCTTGGCAGGTAGGTCCCATCAAAATTGAGTGGGAATCATAATAGAGAACTTTCTTCCCAAGGATGAGGATGTGGTGTCAAAGAGATCACCGAGGTGGTGGGGCATAATAACCTTCAAGTGTTCTACCCTGACCCCTGCAGGGGAGGCTCAGGACTGATGTGGTTGACCCCAGGGTGCCCAGCCCCAAGACTTGCATTTGTCCTTCAAAGCAGTCCCAGGGGATCAGGTTCCTCAGAGACAGAGGAAGTCCCCATTCAATCATTTCCACTCATTCATCATGAATCTTCAGTCAGACAGCCTCACCCCTTCCTGGCCATATGATCTTGGGAAAGTCATTTCTCCCAAGCTTCAACTTTTTCATCTGGGAAATGTACCTAACCTACCTTGCAAGGTTACTGTGGGGCTTAAATGAGAGAGCAAATAGAAAGGAGTAGAACAAGGCCCAGAGTGCAGAAAGAGCAAACTGTGACAGCTATTGTCATGACAGTTTATTCTCCCAGAAACTATTTGGGCCACCTTTCTCTGAGGCCTGAACGTGACAGGAAGATTCTGTGCCTTCCCTCCTGGCCCAGGCCTCTGCTGGGAAGGGGGTGGAGAACAGCCTGAGTCAGGGCTTACACAGCTGCTCCTGCAGGCAAAATGTGGGCAAGACGTGACAGGGACAGAGTGACAGAATCTGCTAATGGTGATGGTGCAGGGACTTTCCCAACTGCTCTCAGGAGACAAACCCCTTAATCCCTCATCACCACAACCTGCCAGGCCTGGGGAGGTGGCTGGAGGCAGGGTCACGCTTTCAGGCCATGAGAGCAGGACCTGCGGCCACTACAGGGCAGAGCGGGCTTGCCACTGTGGGTGAAGAGGGACTGCTTTTGCAGTTTAAGACAAGGGGATCCTGAAGTTCCTGCTTGTGATTTGAAATCTCTTACTAAGCTGAAACTCCACCATCATAGCCCAACCTTGGGTGAAGCATAGTCCCCGCCACCCTGTTTGTTACTCATGGACCCTCTGCT